GGTTCGGGGCTTTAGGCTTTAGGGTTTAGGGCTCTAGGGTTTAGGGTTTTGGGCTTTAGGGCTTTTGGGGCTTAGAGTTTCAGGGATGGCAGGAGCTGCGGCTCTCTTCTTCACGCCTTCGTTTGTTGTGGAGCCTTTGTGTTGCAGAGGGCCCTTTGGGGTTTAGGGTCTAGGGCTTTAGGGTTTTAAGGCTTCAGGGTTTACGGTTTAAAAGGGCTCCTTGGTTTCGGTGTAAGGGCACTTCCCGTTTAGAGCTTAGGAGTTGAATGGGGTGAGGAATGGGGTGAGGGCTTTAGGGGCCTAGTAATTAAGGCTTGTGGCTTATGGGTCTTAAGGTTTAGGGTTTAGGACCACTATAGAGTTTAGAAGTGCGTGGGCTGAACCGAAACGTCTAGTAGCCAGTGCTTGCAGATTTTACAACACCTGACCTTAGTCATAGTCGCTGAGTTCCCCAAGGCTATAGCCTTACAAATATCGTAGGATGATACAAAACTCCCGACATGATTGAAAGCTACCTACTCAGCTACGAAACGCTCTACATCCTGAACGGTAGACCCTGAAACCCGAAACCCCCAGCCCTACAAGCGTGATGCACTCTACAAACCCACGAGGCCCTGAAGCCGCGGTACTCATGTTGCAAAAGGGAGTTTCAGAAAACTCACGGGGTTTTCGGCATCCTGATTTGAGGAGCCACCAAAACGGAGCTTTGCTTTTCATTCAATCTCAAACCCTGCACGACGGCAGGTCTTACTACGGTTGGGGTCATGCCACGTCACGGCCGGTCCAAAAGCCCAGGAGAAACCTGTAATTCCTGTTGCGTTTGCCATAGGGATTCTATATGGGCGTAGAGGTGGGAAGTTTGTAGTTTCTCTTGTTAAAAATGAAGACATAAACAACTAAATTAACAAATAACTCCACGCACACAGCTGAATGAGACATATACCCAAAAATCCTCTGGTGCCAGGCTTCAGCTGATCTTGTACAGCGTTGCTGTCACCTCCGTGGAGGCAAGAGCCCCAGGTCACCACACTCCTTGGTGGGCCAAGCGAAACGGCTTTCAAATTGATGGTACACCACCGCGACGGTGGTAGTAGTAGTAGTAGTAGCAGTAGTAGTAGTAGTAGTAGTAGTAGTAGTGGCATGATCTCATATAGAATGTTCTAGTGTTGTCTTGATTTCGGCACCGCGTGCCTTCGCCTGTCAGCTTGTGGCTGTGACGGACGGTTTAGAGTTTAGGGCCTACGGGTTTAGGGTTTAGGGTTTATAGAGTTTAGGGCTTGGGGTTTGAAGAGGAGCACAGGAAACACAGTGGGTTTAGGGTTGAGGGTTCAGGGTTTAGGGTCGAGGGTTCAGGGTTTAGGGTTTAGGGCAGGAACAGGCGCGAGCAATTGCACGGCGGCGGTTGCCCAACGGCACTTTAGCGGTTGTTATCGGCGGCTGATGTAAGAGGACAGTGGATTGGTAGGACAGCAAGCTCCCACATTTCTCAGCTTGGGCTAAGCCGATAGCTTGAGATTCGAACTTTATTTACTGAAAAGTCATAGCCACTAGTTACCAAAAGCCAAACTCTAAAGTCCCAAACCTTAACCCCTTAAAACCTTAACCTCAACCCCAACTGCAGACGGGATGCCCGTCGAGTAAGATAGCCGCAAAGGCATAGGCGGAAGCCTGAATCTCTGGGTTCTCGCTTAGACTGGTCAAAATATTCAAAAGAAACTTTGAGGAAGATAATTACAGGTTGCTTCTTGAAGGTTTCTTTTATGAGGGTGTTGTATCGCTCTCTACCATGATTAGGAACTTGGAGCGGGGCTTAACACCTGTAAAGGGTTCTTCATAAAGGTCTCCAAATCTTCCGAAAGTCTCAAGTGTTTTGAAAGCACCCTCAACCCCAAACCCTAACCCCTAACCCCTAAACCCTAAACCCTCAACAAACCCCAAACCCTAACCCCTAAACCCCCAAACCCCAAACCCTAAACCCTAAACCCCCAAACCCTCAGCCCTGAACCCGGAACCCTGGCCTGGATCTCTTTGACCTCTTTGAGCTGGCTCTGGACCCCGCTGCTGTCACCCCCGAGTCCTCAAGGCCCGGGAGCGGCCCAGAACAGGGGCCCTGCAAAACCCTAAGGGTTTAGGGTTTAGGGGTTAGGGTTTATAGGGGTTTAGGGTTTAGGGTTTATAGGGTTTATAGGGTTTATAGGGTTTATAGGGTCCATGTACTCAAATAGTATATACTTTGGCCTTAAAGTAGTCCCCATATAGGTGCTTTGGGGCCAAAGTATATACTATTTGGGCACATGGACCCTTAGGGAAAGAACACATAAGTGATGAACATCAAAACAGAGGAGGCAGGTACACTGACACAGAACAAGGAAATCCTCATTGCAAGACAGACCCGTTTAGGGTTTAGTACTCCAGCGCTTAAGTTGGAGGGTTTTTTTTTTTAAAGGTTTCGGGTTTAGGGTTTAGTCCCAAATAAAGGTTTAGGGTTTCGGGTTTAGGCTAGGGCCCTAAAGCTCCAGAGACTGTAAGGTTGACAACCTTACCAGCCGCAGCCTCAAGCCGTAACATGCCCGCCAGGTCATCTCAAAGCCTTATCTACGACTGCATGCTGGACCTTGATAAAACCCACAACCCTCATCCCTGAAAAGTGCCCTAAACCCTAAACCCATACCAACCCCCGCATGTCAGAGAAGCATCCTGGATCACCCCAGGTCACCACACTTCGATCCTGGAGAATGGCAGCGAAAGCAACAGTGCTCGCCTGGAACAACAGGCTACAAGCTAGGGTTTAGGATCGAGCCTGAAGGTTCAAAGCTCGGGTGCTGGGCTTGGTGTTGAGGGCATACGACTTACTAAAGTAACAGAAGACAAGAAGACGAAGGAAGCGGTTATCATCGTCTTCATGTCGTCTTTCGTCGCGGCCTGAATCTGACAGACTGTCTTCAGATGTCGAACACTGCGCCGGTCACCGCCCAGATTCTCATCCGACCATGGCACCACGCTTCCGTCTCCCAACACAGCGGCGAAGGTGTAAGCCGTTGCCTGAATATGTTGCACGCCTTTCAGCTGCTGTTGAACTGATCGGCTGTCCCCGCCGAAATTTCGATCGCCCCAAGTCACGACACGACCGTCAGACAAAAGCGCCGCAAAGGCATTCTCCGTCGCCTGGATCTGCTTTACGCCCTTCAAGAGGCCCTGGACTTTTCTAGAGCTGCCCCCTGCATCAGGATTTCCCCAGGTCACCACCTGACTTGTGCAGATTCCGACAAAAGGAACCAAACCTTTGCTTTTTGGGATTGTATAAGAAAGGTAGCCTTATCTTGCTATAGAAGGATGATGCTACCCCCCGCCCCGCCCCTTCCAAAAGAAGCAATTATATAAGCTTATAAAAGAATGACACTGGTCAACACTGCTTAAACTTTTTGGGGTTGTATACCAAGGATAACTTCTTGGCGTTATATAAGGATGATGATCAAGGTTAGCCGGTTAGCCAGTTCGGAGTATGTTACGGTTATGCTACCTCAGTAAGGTTCACGTTGGGATTGTGTAAGGGCTACACTGCCGCCAGCAAGGTTAACCTTGTGAGATTATATCAGGACTACACAACCCCACAAAAACTAACCTTGTTGGGCCCTTTTTGGGAGTCACAGGGATGCTGCTAACCCTGCACCTTCTGCCAAAAGGTTGACCTTTTGAGAGTTTAATACAAGGACTACCTTCCACCAAAGACTAAAGAAGGTTAACCTTGCGAGGTTTTACCAGAATTTGTGCTACCCCAAAAAAGTTTTCCTCTTGAGGTTATATCAGGGCCATGGCGGCTATGCTACTCCAACAAAGCTAACCCTTTCGGGTTTCATAGGGACCAAACTCCCCCAAACGGTGATCCCTGTCAGCTTAAATTTGACGACTGCAGTCCCCCCAAAAGTAAACCTTTGTAAACAAGTAGGTACATGTACATATATATGTATAAATGCACACATACACACAGCAAAAAAATTAAAGGTTACCGGGCAACCCTAAACCACAAACTCAAAGAGGTTGGAGCTTGCCTACGTGACTACTAAGCCACGAGCCCATCGGCCCTCAGAGCTGCGAAACCACCACCGGCCGTCGCCTGAATCTGCACCACATCTTTCAGCCTCCCACGCACCTGATCCTGGGTCACTTGAGGGTGAAGCATCAAAAAATACTACTTTAACCTACAAAGAGCTGTTTGAAATTGAAGAGATCAAAAACACGATTTAAGGGAGCAAGAAACTATTCCTCAGTTTATGAGCGAAATAAAGAGGAGGTGAGCTCATTAATATTAAAAGATCAAAAACATTAAGGATCCAAAAAACTATCCCTCATTTGTAAGCAAAATAGAGAGGAGGCAGGATAACGCCTTCCAGATGGAGGGTTTGCCCTCTTCTTGCTTCCGGAATCCCGCCAGTGCATAAGAAGAACAGTGTGTCAGCCCAACAGAACCCGCTAGAATTCGAGGTGACAAACTTTCTGGCCGTGCGTGAGAATCTTCGCTCCGTGCCTGAAAAGCGCCAATACTTGGGGGGGAGCCGCTTGGCTCTGGTCCGGAAAGCATTCCGGCCGCGCCCGGGTGTGTGTGTGTGTGTGCGTGCGTTTTGCTGGCATATATTTGTTAAACACGACCAATTTGGCGATTCCAGTTCATCATATATCTTAAACACGCTGGCCGTTCTGTTTCATCATATATCTTAAACATGCCGCATCATTTGGCGATTGCAATTCATCCTTTATCTTAAGCCAGGCCCCTCATTTTGCGATTCCAGGTCATCGTATATCTTAAGCACGCCCCTGATCTGGCAAGTCCAGTTCATCATGTACATACATATATGCATATATACATATGTTACAATTAAACACGCTCCCTCAGATGTCTTAAACACACCTCCTCATTACATTCTTGACATGCTTCCGGAATCACGCCAGTGCAACTTTGTCAATCCCACAGTTCCCGCTAGTGCTATTTGTATCAAGCTGTTGTTGCTTGCTCCCCCAAACACACCTACCAATGAAGGCCACGCACAAATCAAGAAACAACGAACAGTTGCCTTGAGTAAATGGTTACTGCGCTCTCATCACGCTGCTGGATGCCACTTCTCGTGTTCTCATATGTTTCCATCACGGCTCGCGGTAGTGGTATCACTCTCTGTTTCCGATAACAAAAGAACGGGAGGGCATAGGGCATCGCTCCTGAAAATAAGCCTGCATGGAAAATAAAGCAAGGGGGGGGGCCACTTCACTTGCCAATGCTCCTAGTAGGGCTGCTTGACGGAATGTCCATTGATGGCGTGCCATTCGTTCGCATGGCCTGAAATTCAAAACGAGCGGGGGGGTTGTTGGGGGGAAGGGGGGGGGGCGCAGCCCCCCCCCCCCATTTGCAAACGCACGCCATTGTCTGAGGCAGGTTCGCACGGCTTATAAAGGAACGGGGAGGATGATGGGCTTCTTGGAAAACCTTGATGAAGGAAACAAGTGCGCATTGACAGCACGCTGTCCTTTCAAGCAAACAGACTGCTCGTAGAAAGGCCTTGAAGGAATGTCCATTGATGGCACGCCATTCTTTGAAGCAGGTTCGCATGGCTCAGAAACAAAATGCGCAAAGGGTTGTGTACACCATGTTCGCTGTTCAATGCTTGACTTGACTTGGCTTGTTTCGAGCAGGGATGGGGGCGAGGGGGCGGGTTTATATACATGTGGAATATACATGTATATATAATATATATATATCTCTCTCACACACACGAATTCGCGGAAACATATATGTACACAGACGCAAAGTTGGGTGTCAATACATGTGTATATATATGTATATGTATATATATATATGTGTATGTAAGTAAGTATGTATGTATGTATGTGTGTATGTATATACATATGTGCGTATGTATGTATGTATGTATGTATGTATGTATGTATGTATGTGCGTATGTATGTATGTATGTATGTATGTATGTACGTGTGTACGCATGTATGTGTGTACTTATACATCCTTATGTATTTATACATGCACTTATACATATACACATGGATCTTCATCACCAAAATCCTCATCCACATCCTCATCCTCATCATCATCATCATCCTCATCATCATCACCATCATCATCATCGTTATCATCCTGAGAACACGCGCGAAATGAAGCTCTGGGAATGAACGTTTCGGCTTGGTGGTTTCATAGGGCTTCTTTTTCTTGCTTACTGTCTGCAAACAGTGCATGGCCCTAAGTAGCTAGATTTTAATAACGCGAGTGCATTTGCAACTTATCTGTGCTGAGTTGCAGGTCTTTCCTTCTTTCTTGCTTCATTCGTTTTTATTCGTTCTTCCATTCCTTATATCTTCGTGTCTTTCATCTTTTACGTTTTCTCTGTGTTCTTTTTCTCTGCGCTGAATTGCTGTCTCTTTCCGTCGTTCTTTTCTCTTTTTTTCTTTAGTTCTTTGTTTAAGTTGTCTTTCTTTCGATTTGCTATATTTGCTTTCTTGCTTGCTTACTTCGTTCTTTGGTATTGTGTTCTGTCTTTCCTACGTTATTTCTTTAATTCATTCTGCCTTTCTTTGTCTCTGCGCTGAATTGCTGTCCTCCTTTCTGTGTTTCTGTTTGTTGCTACTTCTTCGATTCTGTCTTTCTTTCTTTGCTTCTTTAGTTCTTTGTGTCTTTCCGTCCTCCTTTCTAGGTTTTGCTTGGAGTAGCTTTTGTGGGATCCCTGGGATAGGTGTGTATGCTTTGTGTTGTTCCGTTGTCTTTTGCCTTGTATTCTGCCTATAAAATGGGAATATCTTTTGATCCATTAAACAGTTTTTCGCTATCCCTTAAACAGCTTTTTGACCCCTTAACTACATGTGTTTAACCCCTATCCCGTCACGTGACAAGTTGTAGTTGCCAAAAACAGGTCTATACTGGAATATAAATACAGAAACACAGATATGTGTATGTGTGTATATATATATATACATACATACATCCTGGGTTACTACATGCAAGCACCAGCAAATAGAGGTTTATAACGGACTACTTATCCCCACTAAACTCGAAGAATAGGTTCCTGAACCGAAACCCAGGATCGCTGTCTCCACCATGGTCTGGTGAGCCCCAGGTGACGACACGCCCGTCTTGTAAAATCGCCGCAAAGCTAGAGCCGGTGGCCTGGATCTGCTGCACACCCTGCAAACGATCTTGAACCTCCCTACTGTCAGCTCCATACTCAGGATCACCCCATGTGACGACCTGTCCATCACTTAAGATGGCGGCGAAGGCACGATCTGAAGCTTGTATCTGCTGTACACCTTTCAGACAGTATCGAACAGCACTGCTATCACCTCCGTATGAGCGCGGGCCCCAGGTGATCACCCCACCAGCCGGGTTACACCAGGCGAAAGCCCCCTTGTTGGCAGCCAGAAACGCTCCGTGCAGTTGCCTTACATCCAGCGTCTGTCGGCTAATCTCCGGTGTCTGTCGGGCATTGGGTACAAACGCCGGGTCCGCCGGGTCACTAATCACCTCCGGCGTCTGTCGGACACTGGCAATGGTAACAGACGACCGAGCTCTGAGGAACGCGCTTGTGGCATCCTTCACCCGCTTCAACGCGCGAGAGCAACAACGCAGCAGAGAGAAACTCCTCTTCCTCCCCAGTCTCCCATCGTCAGTCATAGAGAGGGGCCTCCATGCATGTAATTATGCGGCAGCCGCACTGCTGAGCCAAACATGCACATATGGACGTCTTGAACCTCAAAGGGACCTAGATCTGAATGTTAAGAGAATGAATAAGGTAGCCAGGAGAAGGTACTACAGGGCATAGGTGGGCAACGTGTGCCAGCCGCCCGGACCCACGGGAGCTGCAGGCAAACCCTCAATTAAAAGCCACAAAATTTACCCTAAACCATGAAAACCCTAAACCCTAAACCCTAACCCTAAACCCTAAACCACGCATTTTAAAGCCGATGTGTTGCTAGACCGCGACGACCGACCTTCCATTGCACAGTGCAGCGCAGAAAGTTGCTGTCTGGATCGAGGATTCGGATGACTAGTGCCATTATTCCCTCTACTTTCAGGGCATCAAGACGACGATGTCCACACTTCTAATTGTACGGCCGTGCGGTTTAGACTGTTAAAGCTCCGTCTGTCCACAGTCCCGCTCGGACTCTGTCTGCCCGCCACACCAAAGTGCCTTTGCACACTCTGCATGGACTTTGGCGGCTTTGGCGAAAGCGAATCGCACTCAAATGCTAAAGTCCTGGCAGGGCCACACTACCCATAGGCCCCTAAGTAGTTCCTTTTTGGGAGTACCTTATAGGATTCTCAATATGAACCACAAAAAGGAACTCTTAGGGGCCTATGGGTATACTTGGGCAAGGCCGTGCATATCTTGGGTCGACTCGGTTTCCGCCTCCGGAAATCGGTTCCTGGCATGATCCCGTGTGCTTCCACCTCACGAAGTTGCGCTGCCGCCACAAAACCCACACCCCTAAACCCTAAACCCCTACGGCTGATGGTATAAATCCTGCATTACCCATAATAAGGAATATACCATAATTCCCATAGTTTAGGGTCCTTAAGGTAATGCAGGATTTACATCCTCAACAGTAGTACACATCTTGGACTCAGGGGGTGGTATTGAGTGGATGGTTGGTTCTTGGGTATGTATCAAGCTGCTGTCTGAAGTCTGTAAGACTTGTTATAGTCATTCGGCTTTTGTGATTGAAGTGGTGCTGGACTCGAAGTACTCGTAGAAGAAATGAACACGGCCGGGCTTTCTTGAGTCCAGCCTCCAGGGATCCTCCTAACGTGGCTTCTCCACTCAGCACTGCATGGGCTCTCGGCTTTCCTTATCTTTTCAAGCTCTACTTCTTGAAAAGGCCAGAGAAAGCACAGCCACCTACCCTCATTCAGCGTTTTATGCGGCTTTGAGGTTTGAGGCTGGACAGGCTCAAAGTCTGAAAAAGTAGGCTTGGGAGCTTGTCGGCTTCATGCTGTTACGTAAGCTTACGGGCTCCAGGGGTTAGCCTGAAGGTCTCAAGACACAATAAAAACCCTCATGTCCGCAAAACCCATGCAATCTTCGTCCCTCATCTCCAAGGCCCCGAGCCAAAGACTCTTCCAACTCCGATAACCCGTGCCCAGCCGTGTCAGCAGGTTCACACTATCAACCATAACAAGAGCACAACAACGGGGTGGCACTAGTCCTGGTAGTACTCGCTGCGGTGGCATGGTTGCAGTCGGTAGAGTAGTCACGAGTCGGATTAGCACAGACCGAACCAGTTGTGGTGGTGGTAGTAGTGGTGGTAGGGGT